CACACACACACACACACACACACACACACAGACGCACACACAGACGTGCTCACACGCACACCTACTATCTCATTAGGGTTAAGGTAGGGGCAGCTATTATTAGCGGTCTATGTTACATAAGGCCTGAAGAGTCTTTCTTATTGATACTTTCATACAGCATGTTTAGAAATGAAGTCATGAGGGAAGTCAAAAGTTACACCGAATGTATTATCGACTCACAAAAGACTCACGTACGCACACACAAGCTCGCACAGTTGCATCCTCTTGTGTTTGTGAGGGTTAAGGAGCAGATGGGCCACACAGGCTTTAGCCACCTGCTCTAAGATATTTATAGGCCTTTTCATAAAGTGCTGTACACATTGCCTGACACCTTGTCTAAAGATGTCCCTCTTGTGAAACATAACGATTTAGAGATTTAATGCAGCAGATAGCTTGCAGTATCGTGAACCACGCACGTGACAATAAGTAATATTTAGAATGAGTTTAGAGATTAATTGATGAATAAAACTACAAATTTAAAAGTTTTGCACATTTAAACTAAAGAAAAAAAATCATCTTCTGTTTCCTTTGAGAAAGTTAAAGTTAAAATATGAAACTGACAATTCACACAATTTAAATACAAATATATTATCATAATTAAAAAAACAAAACAAAACATATATATAAACTACAAATGTGAAGATGTCCCTGCACAGCCAAGACTTGACAAACCATATCAACATTTTTAAAAAGCAGAACAAGAGAATGTGCTGTTTTTGTTCTTCATTTAGTCTGATAAGTGCAATATGTGTATTATTACCCCCCCCCCTCCACAAATACATCAAAACTCATTTACTTTGAATTTTCAAAAGTTTAAAAACTTTTCAATGTGTGTATAAGTTCTGATAATCAAGTGAAGTATGTCATCTTCCTGCCATCGCCATGTCTTAGTTAACTGTGTCAATAATAACAGTAGAGATGTTTTCATTAAAAACTGCATATATGCATGAATATGTGCCGATAATGCATCAATATCCTCCATGTATGTAGACATTTTTGCAGTCTTCTCATCTCTGCGCTCACCTCTGATAATGATTGATGTTTACATGCTGTTGATGTGTATCCATGTAGTGTTTCCAAGGGGAAAATCACAAGACTGGGCAAGAGATTTTCATGTAAAGCTGCTCTGGCTCCAAAATGCAAAGTCTCTTTATACTGCCTTCCAAACTAGTAAGAGGGTTACAGAGCTGCTGTTTGATGCAGCGCCCTCTAGCGTCACATCATTCTATGAGAGGGGCTTATCTCCGCTGAGAACACCACTACAAGCCTACTGTTAGTCCAGGACTGTGTTTGCTCTACCAGCAAGTCAACACTTTCACATAGACCACACAGAGTGCTTTCATACTGTGTGTCCTGGATGTAACTACTGGAGAGACTTAGTTTGAGATGACCCCAAGAAAATGATCATCTTGAATGGAAGTCAGTCATAAACGGGATCACAAACGGTTATGTAAGACCGTGCAAAACTACTCTCAGTTCGCAGAGATGAGCATGTTTGGGCTACTTGTGCTAAAAATATATCAGCATGATTTATAGCTGCCAATGCTATTTGCTGCTCCTGTGTAATGTGACAGTAGATGAGCGATGAAATGCGCATAAGGTTCTTGAGCTGAGTGACTGATGCAACATTATTTTCGGAGTGCAGGATGTATTAGATATGTTATATTAAAGCCTGTGTGTGTGTGTGTGTGTGTGTGTGTGTGTGTGTAATCCTGCTGACACTGAACTGAACCTTC